GTCCTCCAAGCAGCTCCATTAACATTTTATCATGGAGGTAGGGTTGTCCAATGCACTGTAGGACATTTAGCAGCATCTCTGCCCTCTAGACATCAATCACAGACACACCCCACCCTACTGCCCACAACCACCACACATGTGACAACACAAACTGTTTTCATTCATAGCCAAATAGCACCCCTGGTTGAGAAGCACTGCACCAACATTATCCACACCCAGTTCAGGGGAAGTTAGAGGTCATGGGTGTCATAAGTTCCACATCTTACAAAAGTCTTCAGAGGGAAGATTGTCCCTCCAGTTAGTTCTAACCAGTTGACAATGTTCATACTTAACTTTGGCGACCACATTCTTGGGTAGAAGCAAATTCCAGAAATCTCAGAGAAGGTTAGCCAGGGAATTACTTCAAAGAAGTAAGCTATAAATTGATCTAAGACTCTGGTCAGCCAAGTCAGCCCCTCAGCTAATCAGTGGGTGAGTGGAGTCAGGCTGTGATGTGGACCCTGTTTGCTGGATCTCCTTATTCCTAGGCCACAGGGAGCCAGCCTACCATATGAAGGTGACTTGTCACCTTTAACTGGTAGTTGGGACAGTGGAAGGATGCCTCTGAATGACTATACTGAAGAAGTTAAAATAAATTTTTTCAGAAAGAAAACGTAGTGCCCATTTCTCCCATCTAAGGTTCTATGCCCAATATCTCTTAGCATAATCAGAGAATAGGACTAAATGGTGATTTTAAACAGTGGTCTCCCCACACCTCCACCCACTTATAACTAATCTGACTCTCCCAAATAACCATTATGGAAGGAAACTTATTACTTATTTATTCTATTTGAAGGCGAAAATATTTTATTTTTGCCCCCATGTGGTCTTTATTCAACAGAGTATTCAGCTATTACACATGCATCAGGATTTTATTTTATTTTATTTGGTGTTGGGAATGGAACCTAGGGCTTAACAAATGCTAAACCTACACCCTGTTTCTGAGCTAACTCCAGCCCTAATCTTTTTAAAACAGGTTTTTTTTTTTTTTAATTTTTATTTTTTGTTTGTTTTTTTCCCTTAGAAAGTTTGGAATTTGTACCTCTAACTTCATTGCAAAGGCCAGAAAAGTAAAAATAAAAGATAGTAACCACTCTCCACTCCACAGAGGCACATGGATTTAAACACTTTGTTTGGGGGAGGGGGTTGTTGTTGTTGTTTGTGGTGCTGGGGATTGAACCCAGGCTCCAGGCACTCTACCACTGAGCCACAAACCCAGCCCTAGCTTTTAGGATTAGGATTAGGGGCAGAAATGGTTGTTAGTTTGGCAAATTACATATTGGACTTGTGAAATTAAAAGGATTATTTGAAATAAAATCTTGTCTTCAGACTAGTTTGCTATGCCCTAGGTTCAGCTGAGCAAAGAGCCCCTTAACTATGATACCTCCTTATTACAGAGTACTAGAAGTTATTCAAGGCAAGCTTTCAGATTGTTGATTTTGACATTTTGCCTGGGACCAAGTACAATCTCTTTCCAAGGAAATGCTTAGAAGACTCCAGGCGGAACCCAAAAACAAATGCCCCAGACGTTAGGGGAAAATTTTTTTGAAGTGGATTGCCAGAAAACTTGTAGCTTATTTCTAATTAAGAATTGATGTGATTTTTTTTTTTTTTTTTTGGTTGTTAAAAAGGAAAGTATAGTAACTAATTTTGTTTTGCAAAACAAATGGCCAGGCAGGCAGGATTTCAGATGGACACTTTTGGAGGGCTCCCCTTTCCAAGGGGGAGGCTCTGGCAAAGTCCCTCATGGGATCTAGTACCTGTGTAACGCTTAGGAAATTGTCTGTTCTAGGGTAGTTTGGGTTTTGAGCTTACTGTGATTACACCATGTTTCCCCAGTGGGGAAGAGTCAAATCAATGAGGAAAGAGGTAAACAGAGGCTGCCCAACTTTTGGGGGCTCTAGGATAGTGGAAAGAGAGCACTGGCTTAGAAACTGGGGGTGGGAGTCACATCCCTATGACCTTGGTGATTCTAGCACTTAGTTCTATGATTCCATGCATTTGCCAAGTGACATCTAGAGAAGGCAAAATTTTGATTCTTAAAAGTATTGACAGTATTTATGATGATTCTGCTGAGTATTCCTGGGGTTCTGCCATGGTCAGAGAAGGGGCCTACATTTGATGGTCCAAGGGGCAGCCAGCGTGTGCTTCTGCATTCAACTTTTTAAATACACAAGTGTACATAAAGTTCTGTGATGTTGAGGTAGAGCTAGGGAAGGGGACTCAGGATAGAAACTCTTTCTCAGGTGGAGAGCAGATCTTAAACTCCTGCATCCATCTTGGTCCAAGACTCAGACAGACAGGTGGCACCCACAACTTTGATCCCCCATGTCAAGATCTGACTTGAGATTTTAAGGCAGCTCCAACAGGAAGTCAAATCTGCTGGGAGGAGGAGGAGGACCTGCAGGTTACCTTGTGTGGAAAAGGGGTTTTCCTCATCTTCCTCAGTAGTTTGCAAAGTTCAGAAATGGGGAGACAGAAATCAGCCTCCTGAGGAATTCCCTACTTTTTCTTTCTTGGTTTGTGCTCATTCATATTTCTTCTCTCTTTCTCTCTCTCTCTCTCCCTCCACCTCCCCTTTCCTGAATTTTTTTTTTTTATTAATAGGATCCTTATTAGGGAAGGGGCTTTCTGGTAAGAAATACATTTTCTTTTATTTTCTTTCTTTCTTTTTTAATGGAAAGAAATGAGAAAACCAACTATTCAGGGGTGGGAACTAGAAACAATAAAATAAAGCCAGACTCTTAGAAATGGCTGGCAGATGGCGCTCGGCTTTCACTGTTGAGATCCTAGCTCTTCAGAACTCTTCTTGCCCTGTGCCAGCGCCCAAAGCTCAGCTGCACATCCCCCTCCCTGATCCTCCTTCCCAGGAAGCAGGCAGCCCCTGATCCTCTGGCCTGGGGTATTCTTTAAAGGTTTCAATGGAGCAATTTATCTGAGGACAGATCCTGGTATTTTAATTAGTGGCTTTGTGGACCTTAGTTAGCTGCAGGAAAACACAGTAGGGGGTGACCTCCAAATTCACAGTTCCTGGCCCTGATTCTGCTGGGAACCACTTTGAGACCTTGGGCAAATTTCTTGGTCTCCTGGGTCCCTTCCAGTTTTCCTCTTATGTTAAAACTTTTCTTTGTGTGTGTGTGAAAAGTTTAAGTAGAAGAGTTTTGTCAGTACACACACACACACACACACACACACACACACACACACACGCCACCCCACCTCTACACACCACACCACCCCCACACACCTATGAGTATCTGTTCCAAAGTGGCAGATTTGTATAAGAATCAAAGTGGGACCATCTTTTGTCCTTTGGTAAATAATTAACAATTCCTGGTCCCTTTCACTGGGAGCAGAGGTGCAAGGAACTTTCTTTCCCACCACAATCCAGGGCTAAAAAAGACAAAGGAGAAGAGGTCCTGCTTCCATCTGGGGAACCCAAAGAGCCTCCCTAGGGAGGGAGCATTTGAGACCCTGTGGGAAGATGAGGCAGAGGAGGGAGTAGAATTTGGGTACATATGAAATGCCTGTTTACAGAAATTTTTTTAAGGGCCTCTGAGATTTCAAGGCTAAATTTGAATTTCTGTCCTTTCCTCAGTACCTCCTATTCCTTAGTACTTCAGCCCCCTGCCTCCGCCATGCCAGGATATTCTCGTGATGTTTAATTTTCCCTGTCCAAGAACGAGACCCCCTCTCCATCTCGGGTACCTCACTGAACTTGGGGCAGGCCCCTTTGGCTTCTTGTTTCCAGCGAAAGGGAAGCTGGAGCTGATGCGTCTGGGCCTAAATCCCTTGGTTCCAAGAACAGGTATTATTACCTTTTCCTTTTATCCTCTTTCCCACCCTTCCTGGGGGGGCTCCTGCTTTTTGGCCCTGAATTCTGATTCAGGCAGGTTAGCCACCCCCATGTAGGTGCCATGGTAGATGGTGGGACACAGGTAGGCAGCTCTTTCTAGCACCTTCCCTGGCCCAATGGAGCTGCTCCCCACCAGAGGTCAGCAGAGAGCTAGAATAGCTGGTTGTGTTCACAGGAAAGTGGGGACCACTTAGAATTCTCTAGACCAAATGTAGGAAAAAACCTTGGCAGAAAAAGAGACCCACATTTTTGGGGTGTTTGGAGTTGGAGTTAGCTCCATTTTGGGTCCCTGGGGTCTTGGTTTTAACACCATTCCTGCTATCCTGGACTTTTGGGGGGCAGGGAACTTTGCTCTGTTATTTGATGGGTTTCTTTGCCAGTCCCCCCTCCAAATGCCCAAATCTTCTCTTGTAGGGGACCACACCCACTTAGAACTCTCCTTCATGGGGCCAGACTGCCCACTTTCTCTTCCTCTAGATCTTGGAACCCACACTTGGGCCTGGCCCTTTTTCTTCTAGAAATTGTATTTATTGTTAAAATGACATTATAAATATTACAGGAAATCCCCCTACCCTGCCCTTATCCTGCTATGATTATTTCTCCTTATCTCATGTTCTTTACCCACACGTATGGATGTTTTTAAGAAGGGTATTTATTAACTATGGTATGTAAAAAATTTTGTATTTAGCACCCCCACCCCATTGCCTGCCCCAGACACACATTATAGGCCAGTTTCCTGAGGAGTCACCCAGGTCCGCCCTTGTTGCTTACAGTCTTTGACTGATTCAGTCCTTTTACTGAGGTGGGAAAAGTTAAAACCAACTCCATTTGTTCTTAATTGTAGAAGGAAAGAAAGAGAAGAGAAGGTACAAAAGGAAAAAGATAAATAAGCCCAGAGGTGAAAAAAGAAAGTTTTGAAGGAGTGGGAAAGAAGGAACAAAGAGAAAGAAAGAGGTGAAAAGTCACCTTTGCCAAGTTCAGCTTTAAGTACCAGATGGGTTTCCTGCCCTCTAGAAACTTGCAGTCTGCTAGAGAGGATCAGATTGCAAATAACTAAAGCTGCTCTAGGCAGAGCTGGAGAATTGCCAAATGGGAGTGGGGGGGGGGGGAGCTCAACAGGTGGTGGGGCATCAGCCCTTCCTGTCCCACCACCCCACAAGGCCATGTGGGTTCTAGGAGCCATGGAGGAGAACAGGATGGGGCCACCTGAGTCCTCTCAGCTCTAGCCATTGCCCTCTCTGCTGATCATAAAGTGATTGTTTCATTTTTGTCTTATTTTGAAATTAGGAATACCCTTCCCTTGTCCCACAATCTGATTTTTCCAAGTGTTTTCACATCCTTATCCCACTTAGTGGTTTTGTTTTGTTTTAAGAAATCTGACACACAATGGACCTTTTTGTCCTTTAAAAAATAAATCTAATCTTCATGAATCTTTTTATTAAATAATCACCCAGAACAAAACAAAGCCAAAGCCTTAGGTTAAAGGCAAACTGTATACTAAGTGGACATCTCTGAAGTACAGGACATCCTTTGAATTTTACGCTAAATTCTTATTGTTTTCTCGTTCTTTCTTTTCTTTCTACTCTTTCACCTTGAAAAACAAGTATGTTCATTAGAGAGGGTAGATAATGAGGGAAGGTGAAGGGAAGAGGGGATGAGGCAGAAGAGGCAGCTCAGCCAGATGCAAATCTGGAGCAGCATGGGTGTGGAGGATATTGCCTCAGCTGCTTCTTTGTGACCTGTGCTTTATTCATAAGCTCAAGTGAAACAAACAAACAAACAATAAAAATCCTGTCCTGGATGGTTACAATAGGATTCCATTCTCTGAAGTTGGGGGCTTTTGTTTGAAGCACAGCCACAGGGGCCAAAGGGGTTTCCCAGGCTGACCCTCTCAGCTCCTTCTCATGGGTGAGCCTCCCAGACCAGGAAAAGCTCCCTCTCTTTCCCAGTGCCAGGAGTTAGAAATGTGTTGATAATTGATTTGAGCAGAATTTGTATTGCTTTGAGACTTAGTAGAATAGCCAATTAGGGGCCAGTGCAGGGAGGAAGAAACAATTGCTGTTCTAATAGCCAAGAAAGAGACCTCACCACAAAGATGGTCACACAATGGGCCTTGTGTGACATCTGGAATTACTGGGGAGTCAGGGGTCATGGTGGTTCTTTAGGAAGGAGGAAAGAAATAGTGTTGGGAAGTGTTTAATAGAAATTTAGAATAAAATGACATGCCCGATTTAGGAAAAGAGTATATCCATCATAGTTCCAAATGAAAACAGTTGTCACAGTTACTTTTTCAAGTTTTTGACCATTGGCAGGTCTGAGGTTTCTCGCACGAGAGGGTAACGTCCAACTTGGCAAAGAGCATGGAATACTGGCTAGTCTGTGGCACACATGCACCCATTTTCCCTCACTGATAAGTTATTCCTAATTTTTAGTTAACTTATAAATCAAAATAGCCTTGTTTCCTCTTTGCCTCTCTAGTAGCACCTCTCAGCACGCAGTAGCTGCTCAAGAATCTGCTACGCCTCTCAGGAGGATGAGTCCTTGCCGGTCTGGTGAGTTTGCCTTAATTTGGGCATTTTTATTCATTCATTCATTCATTCATTCAATATACACAAGTTGAGTTCACAACATGTGCCCCTCCCAATGGGGAAGACAAAAGTGTAAGACATTGCTGCCCCCTTCTTGGTCCACAGTCAAAACCAAAGCTAGGAAGTTAAGGAGGGTGGTCAGTTTCTACAAAGGGATCATACTGAGAGTAGATAGCAACAATTAAGAGGATGGAATGATGGTCAAAAGACATGTTTCATCAGCTTTCAAGAGATCTCCAACCTAGCTGAGCAAACCAAATCAGAGCTTACATAAAATTATTGTGAGTACTGAAAATTAAAATGCACAAAACCCAGAAGGATCTACTTGGGTCAAAACAAACAACCTTGTCTAGACATTTGACAGGCACAGCCATTCAAATTTCCATGCCAGTCTGAGGCTGAAAGTCTGAACAGGAACAGCAGTGAACAGCAGTGACGAATGCCATCTAGCTACAGGGTAGGCCTTGGCCTTTGTTGATACCTTGTCAGAGAGGTTCTGGTGCTGGCCTTGCTTCCAGAAGGGGTTCCAGAGCCTAGCTTAGGGATGGTACTGAGAGCTGCTTTCAGCTTCCCTCTTTCATTTCTTCTCTATCTGGAGCCAAACTATGTCTTCTAGAATCTTCCAGGTCTAAATTGAAATTCCCTTAGCAGGTGGGTCCAAATTCTTCCACTTAACCATAGGATCTTCTGTCCATGTCAAGGATCAGGGCTCTGCTGGTGGGATGGGGAATGTCTAAGGTTTGCAGGCAGAGGTCCTGGAGTACCAGAATGTTCTCTTAGCTCCAGCCCTCCAGCTTAGCCTCACTCCTCTATGTTAGCTCCCGCAGTCCCTCTTAGATGCTGAGCTCTGGGCCTCTCTTCCTGTTTTCTGAAACAGACATATTCTGTATTCAGATACTCATTAATTCCTAGTCTGTGGAAAGAACAGCATAATTTTAGTCTCCAGAATTTTATTTCCAGTTTCCCATCCACAGATACTCATCTGTTATCTTTGGAGTGACATCTTATCTATACACCTCTGCATTGTTCAGCACATGATATATGAGTTTTATATATTTTTAAAATATGCATGCGTATATACAGATAGGTTTTTTAATATTATAAACAAATCAGGGAAAGTTGTTTTGTGTGAATGGCTGAACTGAAGGTACTCCTAGATGAGTTTTGTTCAACAAGGAGTGAAATTCAGATTGGTAACATTATTAAAAATTGGCTTCTCCTTGAAAAGCACCACCCCCAAAGGGAACTGAAAGAGAAATGCCTGAATCTTGTGTTCAGGGTGCTTAGGGATGAGTCCTTGGCCAATTTGAGAAGGGGAGGTTTGGCCCCAGGCCTCCTTACCTCCCGGCAGGGGCTGTGTTCTGTTCAGTTAATCCCATTAGCTGGCAAAGGCTTAGAGGGTTACTCTTAAGGGACATTTGCATTTTAATAAAGAGCTCTGTGAGGTAAAAAGCTGAGCAAGTCACATTTTTAATAACGGGGTCTTTAGGAGGAAAATTCAAAAAGAGATCATTGGGTGGAATGGGGAGAGTGCTTTGGGGGCAGTCACCTGCCCTCCACACTCCCCTTTCCTCTGCCCAGGGCTATGTCTGCCCAGCACACCCAATTCAGTAAGTGGGCTTTCCTCCTTGTGACCCAGGACACAGGGACCCCTGCATCCCCCCAAAGCAGCAGTCCCTTGGTGTTGCTTCTGCAAGTGAATACCCCCACAAGAATGGCAGTTGGGTCCCAGTTGCTGCCCTTCAGCGCGGCCTTACTCATTCCGCTCAGGCCGGTAACAACAGGCCCCAGGCTTCTCAACATCCAGGGCTGTGACACACAGAACAGTCAGGAAATAAAAGAGGCACGAGTACTGTATAGTTGCTCTGCTTTCTTTAAAAAATAAATAAAAAGAAAGATCCGGGGGTGTAGGGAGAAGGAAACAGGGGATCAAACCAGCACACAGCTGCTGAACAATCAGCCCCCCACTGTCCTGTGGTTGTCACCTGGGAGACACTGGTGCCCAGCAGCCTTGGGATTGACTTCACACCTCAGTCCTGAGTTGCTGGGAGCTGTCTGAACAGCCAGTGAGCCAGTGGAGGGAGGCCTGGTTTGCTGTTACCTTTCCAGATGTTGGCATGCCCTTTTAGGAACCCAGAAGCCTACCAATCCAGCTCCCCAGTGTAGCTTAAAAGGGGCCTTTCCAAGATGCATGGTCTTTAGGAAAAGGAAATTAAACTAATGTTGAAAGCTCCAGACATAGGTTTCCTTAAAATAAAAGCAGTTGAAGGCTAGGATGAATATTATGAATCCCTCTAGTAATATGTATTTGCATATGTCCCATGAGTTCTAACAGCAGAGTTCAATATTGCTGGGGGAGGTAGATTCTTTTGTTTTGCCTTTTTTAATGTTACCCACCTGAAACATGCCTTTCAGGATGTTCGGTTTTGGCTAACGGGATTAGAATAACAGCGTCATGAAATGAGATGAAACTCCAGACAGACCCCTAAATACTGCAGCGTCCACTGTGCACAGCAAACATGCCCCTTGTACAGCTTGGTGACACTCATCTAGGAGCAGGGTGATCAGCTATGCATATAAGTTATGGCTTTATTTCACACACAAGCAGGCAGGCTGCCCACGACACCAGACAAGCAGTCACAGCTCTCCCGGAGCATGAGAGGCACTTGGGTTTTATCTTCCAGATCAGACCTCTCCACTTCCTTCAAAATACCTTCTTCCTATCCCTTAGCTAAGTCAGCAGGGAGAGTCAGCCTCTAAGTTTTGCTAAATCGTGTGCCCTGACAGTGACTTGTAATTAGGAGACCCTGCGTGGAGCTGAAGCCCCGCGGCAGCAGCACCACCACGGTTCTGGTTCCCGGTTCCCCGGTGAAAATGGCCTCGGCAGCACCTTGCTGCCAACAGAGGCCGGCGCAAAACACGGATTTCTCCCTATCCTCCCAAGCTTAGGATTCTGTTTAGAATGCTCTGCTTCCAGCTGCAATTCCCATCACCAAAGGGCCTGATTTTAAGCAGAAAAAAGGACCACTTTAGCCAGTGAGTGATGGGAAGAGGGATGGAGAGAGGGTCATTTCAACAGCAGCCAAAGCAGCTGTGCCATTTCCCTGACAGCTTTTTAATTATGATGAAAGAACAAGATGGTTTGGTTTTTACAGAGAGGCTTGTGGTAGGGGAGAGGAGGGGACCTCTGAAGGGGATGTGGGGTGCAGAGTACAAAGCGCCTGTCACTGAGGAGTGATGGGTGTGCTTGGAGGGAATCCAAACCTTCCCTACCCTCCGAACAGCACCAGCCAGGTCTTCGGGCCACCTTGCTGTGACAGAAAGGGCCTGAAGAGCAAAGAGGAGCAACTTGCTGGTGCTGGTTACTCCCTTTCCCCTCAGGAGGCAGGAAGATGTGCTTCCCACCCACAGGCCAGACCTCAGCAACCCCGGCTAGAGGGCTTTCACAACACCCCATTGTTGAAATCATGTTCTTTAATGTCAGGTGCTAAATCAGATGCATGGTTCTTGTGGACATTCAAGGGCCTTGGAGCTAGAGGTAGAGTTAAGCCAGCAGGCCTGGGGACTGACATTGGAACATACAGAGGCAGTGTTTTAGTGCTGTGGAAAGAGCTGAAGAAGATGTGAAGAGGTCACACTCAACCCAGGCAAGAATGAGGGAAGGCCCCCACATCCCCTTCCATCTCTGATCTGTAATCTTATTCTAGTCTCAGGCATAGGCACCAGTGGCTTGCTTGCTCCAGTGGGTCTTTTTGTATGTCTGAGAAATAAAAGTGAATCCTAGACACTCTCAGAGCTGGAAGGAGGCTTGGCTTCTGGAATGAGAAAGTAAGGAAAGAGTATCAGGCAGCTGTGGGATCCTAGGGAGGAAGAGAACAGAAAGGAAGAAATAGACATAGAAGGTGAATCATTTGGGGCTTTCTGTTGCCTCCCTTCCCAGTTTTAGGGCTCCTTCCTGCATGCAGCAGAGACTGCAGGCTGTGCTGAGAGCCTCTGCCGAGGACTGCATAGAGCAGGAGAGGCGGCTGGAGCCCGCTCGGCTCGGCTGCCTTTGTGTGGTGGCGAGGTACGCGCAGTGACTATGTTAGAAGCTCTGTGGGCTGCGGATAGCCCCCCGGCCTTGAATTCAACCCTAACTGTCGGGATTTGCCACCCCCCACCTCTAGAGGCACACCGTGCAGCAACCTCCCCAAACAGTTGTGATTTTGTGATTTTTCTGGGGTTCCTTTTTCCCCCTCACTCAATTGCCAGGCTGCTAAGACACTTGTAATTTTGATTATTATTAACGGGCAGCTGATAATGAAACAGCAGGGACTTAGGGCTTTGTGGTAGGTGAATTATGGACATTTACAAGTAAAGCCACTTTATTTCTACACTTAATCAGAGGATTAACAAGCAGAATACAACATCTGCAGAGTCTTACAGGGAGGAGTGGTCCTGGAGCCGGTGAGGCAGCACTGCAGGCAAACAGCTCTCTCCCCAGAACAACTGCAGCCTCTCTGCCCGAGCCAAGTCCCATCACACATGTGTCCCCGGTCCCCGTGCACAGAGATTCTGCCTGTCACAGAGGTGGAGAAACAGTGATCTCGCTGATTTTAATGGACCAGTTTAGGGGAAAACACTTTTAAAACATGTTAGAAACCATCTTTTTTCCTTTTTCTACATGGAAAGCAATATTGAGGCTGGCTTTTCAGTCCAGAGAGAGAAGGCTGCAAGGCGGCATCCTGGTTATGGCCTTCAGGCTGCTTGGATGCTTCATTGTGGAAGGATTGTAGTTTAGAGAAAGAGGGGGAAATCCACACAAAATCAGTTATAGAGGTGTATTCAGCCTGGGGGTCAGAGGAAGTCCATGTCAACAGATTTTGTATTTGCAGTATCCAAATAAGAAAAGTATTTAGGATGTGTGCCATATTAAAAATAAGTAGGCATTTTGTTTTTTGAGAAACAGTAAGGTGACCTGCTAATGTGAGATAGTAGGGACTGTAATCATGTGTGAAGAACTGGTCTCATTTTTCATGTCAGAATTAATATTGGTTGAGATTAGATGGCTTCTTAATTTAAACCATTTACATTCTATAGTGCACAGAAAAGAAGGGCTCTCAGCTGCTTCCTGGCAGCAGCAAAGCCGAATAAATAAGGATAATATAACCCCAAAGACCCACTCTTTCATTTGTCGCTTCGCTCTTGTAAATTTTGAGTCATTTAAGCACAACCTAAAAACTCATTTTCATTGCTAGAAATCTGTAGCATGTCGTGCTCTTCTAAGGGCTCTTCGGCTTCACATTTCCTATTCTGGTGCCCTTTTCTGACTTGAGCTTTTATCGTCTTGACACCAAAGCATTTAGTCAGTTTGGTTGAAAGTTCAATTATGAAAAAGCATCTGGATGTTTTGTCTACAAATCAACCAGTTTGCCTGAATGTTTGAGTCCACCAGCTCATCAGTCCACTGCCCCCAAGCTACCCTAGCATAGCCCAAATGCTGAGGTAAACTTCTTTGAGGGAATCACAGAAGCAGATCTCCAAGCCAGTGAGTGCGAGGAAGGGAGCAGATGCCGAGACAAGGTGCCCCCTCTGCAGTAGCCATCCGAAGTTGCTGCAGGGGGGCTATGGGGATGGTGGGGACGAAGGAGCAGGCAGGTCTCTACCACAGTTGCAGCCACAGCCGTAGAGAAAAAAACAATGGGGAGAAGAATCTTTATGGCTAGACCCTCAGCAACATCATTATCCGAATCAAGATTTGTGTAGTGCCTGCAGCCATCTTAGAATTTAAAGGAGGATGAAGCCACCCACCTTCATTTTGTCTTAGGTTACAACCAGCTCAATCTAGCTAGTGAAAAATAAAGATGAGAAGTCTTCTTTTATAGAAAAAGGAAAATGTCCATGATTTCTTTCCTTGAGAAAGCTAATCACCCCTCCCCATCCTTATCTCAAAGTCACCAATGTTGAGACTAGATAATTAATTTTTTCTCTTTTTCCTCATCTTCATAGACAATTTGGACTCTTAAAATTGCCCCCTCCGCCCCCGCCTGAGATCACTCAATGCAGTAAAAAGCCAGGCAGGTGGGAAGAAGGGAGGTAGAAGAGGGAGGTAAAAGAGGGGTAAGGGCTTTATGGCACTTGTGCAGGTTGTTTCTGTTTGCAGACAGCTCATTCCAAAGGAGAGCATTCATAGTTCCCCGCACACTGTTCCTGATCAATCTCACTTCACTTCCCTCTGGGGTACAGACCTCCAAAGCCAGTCTTGATCCTTTATTTTTATGTTAGCAATCACAATACCCTGAAAACATGTTTTTAGCAGTTTAGCATGCACCGAGAATTCCAGGGGAAAAAAGGGTCAAGAATTGATGACTTAGATTTAATACTAGTCCCATTAAGCAGAACTTAGAATTCTAATAATGGATCTTTGCTAGACAAATCAATGACACGTTTCTGAAAGGAAAAGAGTGACAGCTGGCTGATTTTACAGAATCATCAGGTATTGGGAGGAAGGTTAGCAAGGGTTCAATTACTGTGAACCACAGGGGTGTGTGTGTATATTTGTTTCTCTGTGGTTTTCAGGCTTCTTTTTTTTTTTTTTTTCATTTGCAAATTTGTTGTTTTGCTTTCCAGTTTTTAGAAATTATGCATCTATATTTTTTCTCTCAAAATCTCTTCTTTCTTTGGCATCCATTTTAAAGAAACTAAATATTTTGTGGTAGGCTTCTATTCTTTAACCATTATCTTAGTTCCCTTTCTTCCTTTGTTTTTTTAGACAGAGTTCCCCTCTATATTCGTTCTTTACTCTCCACCCAGTAAATCTAGTAGATGTGTAATTTTGCCAAGTTAAGAAATACACATTTATTGAACACATTTAAGAATGTGCAAAGTTAATGAAATATAAAAGTATTTTCCACTCTAGTTAAAATAGTTGAGTCTACTCAAGGATCACACCAGTCAACAATTTTAATAGTCTTTCAACTAACTCATGGCATTATTGCGATGGTATATTTAAAATAATCACTGGTTAAAATTAATAGAAGACTTTAAGAAATTCACTTTTCAGGCTGAAACAACTTAAGGTCATCTGTTCTGAGGTGTGCTTCTCAGTGGCCTGGGTTAAGTAACACTGATTTGGGGGCTTTTAGACTTCGGGCTGCCCTTAACAGGTATAAGTAAATGGAAAATCCATTTAACTTAAAGAGCAGATGTCTCTTGGTCCCAAAGTTGCATATCAACTTCGTTAGTATGGTTCAGCCATCTGGCACCATCTTGACTCAAGATAGGGGTCTAGGGCCTTTGTTGCCCATGCAGTGAACACAAAGAGCTCCCTCTAGGTCTCTCCTGACTTGACACAACCCAGATGCACCTTCTTGCTTCCTTTTCCTGACCAGGGCCCTGTGCTTTGGCTCATCTCTGACTTTTCAGAGCCACCTGGTGCCAGTATGCAGACATCGCTCCACTACCCCAAGGTGTGGTGTTCGGCCCCAACCTCCCTCCTCCCATTGCCACATTCTCAGGAAGGTCTGCCACCTTTGTGTGTGACTGCTGATTCCTCACCTCAGGTCCCATAGGGAGCTGGTGAAAGCTTCGCCTTGTACCCCTACCCTCAAGGTGTTCATATCTTCCATAGGTGAAAGGTCAGTTTTCCAGAGTCTTTTATTTCTTGGTATTATGTCATTACAACCCTGAGATAAAAATAGGTATAATTAGTATGTTACAGATTAGACTCTGCATTTCTGGCTTTGTGTCCCTTCTTCTAATAATACCAATTTTGGTGACACATTTCCTAGAATTCTGGGCTTGCTTCTATCACCAAAATCCTCCAATAGTCCAACTGTAGGAAAGACCTGTTTACCCTAGAACCTAGGAGGATTTGGTCACATTAGATTTCTTTTCCCTCTTTTCCTTGCAGGTCCACCTCCATTTTCTTGTTCTTTGATCAGGCAGCCTCAGCTCCATTTTCCCCCAACACTGACATTTTTGTGAAGCCTCAGCACACATGTTCATCTGTGCCTACGGCAAAGGCTCTTTCCTGGTTGGCTCTAGAGTCACCACCAGTTAATTGGGAAAAAATTTGAGTTAGGCATCACAATTTCAGCCAAGCTGGGCATACAATGAGTACACCTGTCACTCTAGCCAGTGTCCAAAATTCGGCCCCATGGATGACAGCTGTAGCATTTTTTCAGCATGAGCAATTCAGTATTTAATGTTCCTTAGAAAAAATAAATCATTCCAAGCTGCTACTGTTCACCTATTAGCCCTTAGGGGATTTCTGGGGAGTTGGGGAGAGGATCCATAATTCACTTGGCTAATAGGGATAATGTGCCCTTCCCAATTCTGCCTTTTATTATTGTTATTGCTATTAATTACTTTTTGCGGTTCTTGGTCAATTCTCTTAAAAGGCAATTTCTCACATAAGGAGAACAGGCTAGAAAAACATCTTCCGTAGCTGCAGGCCTCCAGAATGAGAAGTCAGGTCTTCTTTTCATTTCATTTATATTTTTACCTGAGTAGTATAGGTACTGCTTTCCATGGTCAGTGGCGCCCATTTCTTTTCTCTTTCCATGGTAGTTTAAATTAACTTGTCATCCTAGACACGTCTTAATTTAAGATTAAGTGCTGGAAAAAAAAAAAGTTCATCATTCAGACCTTCTCTTTTCATGTAAATATCCCTCCAGAGCAGCACACATTTTAAACATGTCCTCCCAGTAACTGGCCCTTCTGTTGCCTGGATCCTAATAAATGAATTGGCCATCTGCAATTAGTCCACATTGTACAAAGTGTTTGAAGGCCGAGTCCTCTGCCTTCTGAAAGAAATTGGCTATATTTAGTTTATAAAGCAAGTCTGCTTTGTGTTCTTTGTAAAGTCAACGACATTCTTTCAATTTTTTTTGGTGTAATTAGCACAAAAGAAGTTGTAACCTGAGAAGGTAGTAGGGACTAAAGCAACTGAGAAGAATGTTCAAGAAAGTGGTCTGAGGCAGTTTTCCCAGTACTGGGCAGTATATAGAGACCCTAGACATGACTATGGATAGAACTGAAGTCTGCAGTGCAAAAAACATCCCCTTTTCATCTGATCCCCAGCCTGGTTGCAAGAGCTTGTTGCTTTGGCTGCATGATTCACTCTTCCTTGTAACTTTCTCAAAGACCTCAGAAAGCCACAGTGCCATGTGGGCTCTGCTATTGTTGAGCGGACTCCTCACAAGTCAGGCAGAGTGCAATTCATGCTGCCAAACTCTCTCAAGCAAGGGAGTGAGGGCATAGCTTCTGGGCTCCCCAGCAAACACTGAAGTTTGGCCAAATAGAAATTTAGTGGAAACAGTGCAATAGCAGGCTGCTGCTTGTGGATAGCCACCTGGCAGGGAGGACCCAGCCTTTCTTTTAGGGACGCTGTCCCCCACAACATAAAAAGTCAGGGAAATAGCTGAAGCTAAACTATAAATTACACATTTTTCCATTAAGTGCAATTTAAAGTTTCTCTTATCCAAGGAAATTTTGTCGGAACCTCAGCTTCACCTGTCTGGTTGAACCAGGTGATTTTCCTGTTGTTATTTATTTAGTATTGTTGGATCAACAGAGCAATCAATGAAGGAAGGCTTCAGAAAGATCCAATTACCCTCATATTGTGTGCTATGGTTTTAAGCAGATGTGCTATGGTTTTAAGCACATTGACCACTGCACCCCTACATTAGTTTTAATTGTTGGATATTAAGAAAAATTTCATATGACCATGTAGTTGATTTCAAGACTTCTGAAATGAAGTTTAACATCATGTTTAGTTTTGAATGCAAGTTTAAGTTTACTTTGTGGTTGAATTTATGAACTAGTGACTATGACAAGAAAAAAATAATACCCTAGATGATCACTATATTGATTTTTTAAGGAACTCTTATGGTCATAGGTAATAGAAGCTTCTTGCAGGGATTAACTGAGACTAGAAAAATGCTTCTTACAATACCTGCTTTCATCTCCTATATGACATGGGCTTCAAGTAATATTTATTTGCAGTAGCAGTTTCAGTCATTCTAGTTAATTAAAGTGCAGAATGTACTTTGAAGACAGAAAGCACCGTGGAAGCACTAAATACTATTATTAAAAGCTTATAGCTAAAGTTTCTGTTTCAGTGGAAACCTATTTATTGTTTCCTAGGTATATGTATTATGTGTGTGTGTGTGTGTGTGTGTGTGTGTGTGTGTTCTCTCTCTCTCTCTCTCTCTCTCTCTCTCTCTCTCTCTCTCTCTCTCGGAAAATAGTTTACAATGACCCCAACAAAGGAAAGACCAAGGAGAACTCTCTTGTCTCAAAACTGAATTACATTATTAAGCATAATATTTTCAAGATTCTATGTTGTAGCAATTCTGTTGCTTCTAAAAGCAGACCAGGCATTCTTACTTAGGAGATGCATAGGAGCCAAGGAACACAGTAAATAAATATGAAGCTCATAGGATTATAGAATTCAAACTCCATTACTGTAAAATAAGAATGTTGGAAAGAAATGTTGCTGGGCCATCTTTCTGTTAGGAATGACACCATCTGTTTAAGTTGTATCATTAAGTGATCTAGTGTTTTAGGTTAGGGATGTGTTATTATCTCAACTTGGTGGTTTTGGCATGAAACAAGTCACCTGAGCCAGGGAGGGACCTGTGTCCTCTCTGAACATTTTATACAGAGGACATTCTGGCCTTCTAGCCTTCTCTGGAGCCTCAAGTTTCCATACATTCCATTCTCACCCTGAGCCAAATGAGGGGCCCTTTCACCAGAAAACTCTCTAGACTGGACAGCACAAGAATTATGTTAATGGATCTCTCTACTCTCACCACATAAACTAGGCACTTAAAATGGCAATGACCCCAAATAAGTTACTAATTCTTAAGACATAGTCACACATATTAACCTCCAAGGAAAAACTTTAAAAAAATAAAATAAAACTTTTATTAGAGTTTGGCTAGGTCAAATACTAGACCAAAAACTATAGATAGTGCCAGCTGACCACACCAGTTAAGTAAAATCTCCTCTTTTGCTTTGTGTCAAGTGAAAACAGAAAACCCAACAGACCACAGACCAGCTTGTGTTTCAGAACTCTTGGTGTCATTTGCTTACCTGTAAACCCACGATTCCACCTGCTGCCATTTATTTACAAAGTAAATGCTTTATTTGTCGATCCATAGTTAGTGTAGGTTTCACTTATATATTATTATAACTTATTTATTTTTTTTATTTTTTATTTTCAAGGATAGCTTGCTAGGTTAGGAGTTAGAAGAAATAACTCCTGACCTTGCGTTACACATTTCTAGGACAATAGTCCCAATTGTGCCTTGCCTAGAACATGTGTTGCTGTATGCCATGGGATAGTTTCACTCTTTTTAAAGTTCAGATGTGATATTTATCTAAAAAGGGAAGGCAGTAGCCCAACTCAGGGACTTCCAATAAGGAGACTCTTCATTATATTCATTGTATAACTGTGTAGCTTACTGGCATTAAGTATCAAGGTTGTATTGGTTACTATTTACCTTGTGCCTTTTAAATATAATGTATTTGTTTTTTGCCACATTAGAAGCAGGAAGGAAGATGCTTTTGAGCAAATGGAGCATAACAAAAATTTCTGGCCAGTTCCTCTCTCAAGTCTTAATCAATTTAAAAAATGACAGTCAATGAATCAAAGTCAACCAAGAAGTTTTTATTTAATATACGAAGATGTAAAACTTAGGCCTTGTCTTTAAGTAGGTGCTAATGGAGTTGATCAATGAGAGCGGGTCATGATCTTTCCAAATAGCCTTGAAATCATTGAAAAGAAGGTTCCTGTCACATTTTGTATGAGTACATCCAGGGTATTGGTTAAATATTTTAATCTGTTTTTGTTTAGGTGAAAAAGCATTAACCTGGAACAGTAGTTCCTTTGAGCTTTTCTCAAAAGACGATATATTTTTGCATGGAGAGAGGGTGATAATCAGAGTGTGACAAAGACCTGGTATATGTCTGGCAGTGGGGCCAGCAACTTTTCAGCAGTTTGAGACAAAGTCAGTGACCGGCAGAACCCATGAGGGAGGGCCAGCCTGCAAGTGAGAGGGTCTGAGGGCTAAGTTTGTCTTCCTGTTCTTAATTCCAAGAATTCTGTGGTGACTTTGAATTGCTTGTTGTCCTTTAAGATCCATAAAAATTCTGATTAAAAAAAAAAATCTGGGGGCAGAGGTGTACTTGAAGGGATCAAGCAAAATAATATGCAACATCTTTATCTATCACACCTTTTCTTATTTTGAATTGGACAAACTGGGGGAAAGGAGGACCTCAGTTGTCATGTGGCTTGGTTAGCAGTTTCTTTCTATTTTAAAAGCTAATTTAAAACTATACCCAACAGTTTGCCCAAGGCCTCTGGAAGCATCCAGCAAACCCCCTGTATACCTGGGGACTATTTGCTGTGTTTGCACTTGTAGATTGACTTTCTTTTAAAATTTTGCCCCCACCCCAAACAAGTTTTGTGAACTCTTTTAGAAGTCAAAGAAAAGTTACAGTTGGAAGAGAGGTTGTGGTTACTCTGCAGATCTGGCTTTAGTGGCGTGTAGGGCTGTGTCCCATTCACAACCCGGGCCGGGTCGACCTGACCAACTTGCTTCACCAACTCATCTGGGCATAAGGTGGGCATGGGGCAAAGTTATTAAATGAATGAATGAATAAATGAATGGTACCCAAGTAGACGCCCAAGGGGCAGCAAGGCTCTGGGAAGAACGGGCCCAGGTCCAGTGGATACAAACTAAGTGCTCCTAACCCTAACCCAGTGCTCTCTCTACTACATTCTAGAATGCAGACCAGAGAGCGGACAGGACATTTTCGAGTTTTGAAACAATCTTCCAATAAGTTTTGTGTTCAATAAACGATTTTTCCCTCTGTTCCAGAGACCCCCGTGGCGCCCTAGCGGGGCCACCGCCCCTCACACCTGAAGGACCTGGAGGACGCCATGCGCCCGATTCTCGCCACCACCGCCTGCTCCTGGCCTCCGTGTCGGTCGTCGCCTGCTGCTCCAGGAAGATAGCTTTGCGCGCACGTGGCACCTATCGTGCGAGGATCGGAGCCCCCCTGGGCACTAGGAGCCCAGGGGGGCTGCGGCCCCTAGCCAAGCGCGGGAGGGTGGGGGGCAACCCGCGCTGGCAGAGGCTGGAGGTAAGGAGGCGCGGCAGGCGACGCCGCGTCGCACACTTTGCACGCCGCCCAGGGCTACACCACTCACCGAAAATTGGGAGGCAGGTTTGGGAGGCGGGGTCGGGTGCCCACCACCTTGTGGGCGCTCGTGCCCCCCGACCCCACACCCAGCACGCCCCCCATGCACACCAGCGCCGCCCCCTCACCGGCCTGCACCCCTGGGCCGCCCCGCGGCACATTTGGTCGCGTCCTCGGTGGGCCGATTTTTCGCGCTTCCCCTTCGGTTTATAGGGGCCGCTGCTTTGGGTCGGTCCTCTGAAGAGGCTGGGGCGTCATCAGGCCGGCTAGAAAGCGCCGTTCCCCGGCGGGGACACTCAGTCGCGTCGGCACCGCGGAGCGGGCTGTGTCAGGTGGCTGGCCCGGCGCGGCGCTCGCTAGCTCTCTAGCTCTCTGGCTCGGGGCTGCGGCACCGCGGCTGGAGCGAACCCCTGTCCCGGCGCGGGGCGGCGGCGGGCGGCCGGCAGGCAGGCAGGCACTGCCTTGCGTGTGAGTGCACCTCACTCACATGTAAGTCGGGGAGCGCTGGGGCCACCCGAGGAAGTGCGAGTCGCCCGGCGCGGGCAAGAGCCACCGGGACTGGGACAGGGCAGGGGCGCCCGGGCGCTGCTGCCCTGCCCCGCGCCTCCCCGGCATCCCCCAATTCTCTCCTTTTCTCTTTTTCTCTTCTCCATTGGCGTGCCCAAGAGCCAAACCCAGGAGCGCCTGAGGGTAACTGCAAACTCGTGCCATCGCGCCTTTGCACTCTTCTTTTTTGAGTTGTTTGACATTTCTTGGTGCTTTTTGGTTTCTCGCTGTTGTTGGGTGCTTTTTGGTTTGTTCTCGCCCCTTTTTCGTTTGCTCATCCTTTTTGGCGCTAACTCTTAGGTAGGTAGCTTAGCAGCCCCAAGCCTGTGCAGCCGCACTCCGCGGCCCAGGACAGCGCAGCGGAGACCGCAGCTGAGCCCCCCGACACGGGGCGCACAGGGGCCGGACAGCCCGAGGCCGGGGGCAAGCAAGGCACCCGGGCCAGACGCGAGCCGGGCTCCCCGAGGTGGCCCGGCCACCATGCTGAAGATGGCCATGAAGCTCAAAGCCCGAGCGGCGGAGAGCGAGAAGAAGACAGCCGCAGCAGCTGCCGAGGTGGCTGCCGAAGCTGCGGCGGCGGCTGCGGCACTAGCAGAGCCGCTCGCACCGCGGAAGAGCGGGAACACCGAGAAGACCCCGAAGAACGCGAAGACCCCGAAGAACCAGGCGCGGGAGGCGCCCCCCGAGAAGTTTCTGACCGACAAGGAGCGCAAGAAGATCGAGAAGAAGTTGCTGGAGCAGAAGAGAAAGGAGGAGAAGAAGAAGGAGAAGGAGAGGAAGAAGTTGGAGAAGATGTTGAAGAAGAAGAAGGTGCCAGAAGCCCAGGAGGAGGCCCGAGGCCCCGAGGGCGCCGCCGCCGCAGACGAAGACGAGGGCGCCGCGGAGGGCGCCGCCGGGGGCGGCGAGGGCGCCGCCGCCGGGGGCACGAGTAGGGCTTGGGCCGAGTGGGACACTGACTCCGGAGACGAGGACGACGCCTACTACGCAGCGCCGCGTGTTGGGGGCGTCGTGTGGCGGCCCGGGCCCCTCAAGTCTGGTGCACTTAGCGCCCACCTGCCCCTCGTGGTCTTCCTGGTCTTCTCGGTGCGCAGCCCCTCGTGGGTGCTCAACTTCCTGCTGCAGAAGCGCACAGAGCAGGGCCGTGGCTGCGGCTTCGTGTTTGGGGCGACCTGCTGCTTCAGAGTGTTCCTGGGCTGCGCCTTCTTCTCCTACTTGGGCGGCCGCACCAAACGCAGAGGCCGCGGGCGCTCTGGGGCCAGTGGAGCCTTCGGCTCGGGCAATGGCGCCCGGCGCCGGGGGCGCGAGGAGCGGCTCATCTAGTCAGACCCCCATACCCCCCGCCACCGCCACCAGACACCACCATCGCTGTGTAGTGTGGATTTTTATTAGTATTTGTGTGTGTGTGTGTGAACACATTTTCCTTTTTGGTTGCTCCGTTCTTTGGTTCGTGCTCGCCTCGCTTTTTTCCACACTCCCTGCTCTCTGGCTCTCTCAGTGTCTCTCTCTTTTCGAAATTTTCCTAAGTCCGGGCTCGCGCTCCCTCCCCTTCCGCCCACCCCGGCCCCTCGGCGGCGCCCGCGGGAGGAGGGGGAGCAGCGGCCTCGGGGGCCTCTGGGCGACACTGCCCGGGGGGTGGAGCGTTGGCGTCGTGCGAGGGGTCGTCACTGGCTCGGAGACGCCCCCTCTCTCCCCTCTGCAGGGCCCAACTTGGGCCCGCGCCAGGGGGGTGGGGGGGCGGCTCCTTGGCCCGTCCCGTCCCGGGCTGGGTGCGGGCGGAGGGACCCCCCTTCCCGGGCACCCGGGGGGGACGCCTCCCTCCGCCGGCTCCCGCCCTCCCCGCTGCCGCCGCCGCTGCAGCGGCTGCTCCTCAGCCCTCCTCCTCCTCCTCCTCCTTCCACCCCCCTCGCCGTCGCCTCCTCCTCCCCCCGCCTCCCCCCGCCCGCCGCATTTGGGTCGGGGCGGTTGCGGGCCCGGGCCGAGGCAATAAGAGCGGCGGCGGCGGCAGCGGCGGCAGCAGCTCCCGCAGCTCCTGCTCTGGTCCGCCTCGGCCCGGCGGCGGCCATCAGTCCCCTCGGCTTCGGCTCGAGGGGCGGGGAGCTGCGCGCGCCCCTCGGTCCGACCGACACCACCCTCCCCTTTGCGCCCGTCCGCGCGGCCCGCGCCCCGCAGTCCGCCCCGCGCGCTCCTCGCCGAGGAGCCGAGCCCGCGCCCGGCCCGCCCGCCCGGCGCTGCCCCGGCCCTCTCGGCCCGCGTGAGGCCGCCCGCGCCCGGCCCCGCCGCCGCCGCAGCCCGGCCGCGCCCCACAGCCGCCGCCGCCATGGGCTGCCTCGGAAACAGTAAGACCGAGGACCAGCGCAACGAGGAGAAGGCGCAGCGCGAGGCCAACAAAAAGATCGAGAAGCAGCTGCAGAAGGACAAGCAGGTCTACCGGGCCACGCACCGCCTGCTGCTGCTGGGTAAGGGCGGGGCGGGGGGCGCCGGCTACGGCCCGGCCCGGGGGCCCCGAGGGGCGCCCCGCAGGCCGCGCGCGCCGAGCCCGCCCCCCGCCCCGGGCGCGCGCTCCCGGGCCCGCCGCCCACTCTTGGGCTCTGTTTGTGGGGGGCGAGGCCGGAAGGGGGACCCCCGGGCGCGGATTCGGTCGGGAGGGGGCCCAAAATGGGACTGGGGGACGTGGCGGCGCGGGTCCCCCTCCCTCGGCCCGTCCACTCTCTTTCTTTCGCCCCCCCTTCTTTCTTTTGCTCTCTTTCTCTTTCTCTCTCTTTCCGCGAGGCCTACACGACGCCAGGGGCTTCGGTGCGTGAGGGGGAGGGGGAGGCCCACGGGGCTCCTGAGACTGCGACAAAAAGAGGGTTTCGGGGACAGGAAATGGGGTGGCGGGCAGAGGGAGGGGGACCCGCCTCCGTAGGGTGTGTGATTTGTTGGGAGAAGGCAAGGGGGAGAAAGAGGGGCGAGAAGAGGAGGGGGTGACGCTGGGGGGCGCCGTGGTGGCGGAGGGGGCCTCGCCAAAGAGAGGCTTTGGCGGGGGAAGTGGCCGAGGAGAGTGGGGGGGCGAGTGACATCAGCCCCTCCGAAAGGACCAGAGCGGTAAAGGTGGTGCAGTGGGGGGGGGAGGGGGCGCGGGCGAGTCGTGGCGCCGGAGTGGGGGGGGGTGAGGGGAGGAGGGAGCGCGTCGGCCGCTGGGCGCGACTTGGTGCGTTTCGGACAGGACCGACTGTGTGCGGAGCAGACGTGTCCTGGGCCAGGCCTGGCCGTGGAAGGAAGAGAAGGAGAATCAAATAAAATAAGACAAAAAAGAAAAAAAAAAAAAGATAGTACGCAAAGTGCCCAATGAAGCCAAATGACACGTCATTTTACAGTATGACCTTTTTTCCCTTCCAGACTTGCAGGCTTTTTGAAAAGCAAAGAAGAGAATTAATTGTAGCAGCTGCCCCCCAGCAGCGCCCCCCACCCTCGCAATAAACCATTAAAAAAACACACACACATTTTCCTGTTAGTTGACCACATTGAGAGTGCTTTGTCAAAAAAATAAAGGAAAAAAGACATTCACAAATCAGATAAAACTGGAAAATGACATTTGTCTGTAAATGGCTTCTTGGTCTGGAAATGGCGTTTTAAAAAATTTGTCCTTTACAGGGGGGAGGGGATTGAGAGCGCTCTAAGGGAAAGACTTTTCCCAGGTGGGAGAGATGAAAAGACATTAATTAGTTGTTTGTCAAGTGACATTTGGTTGTTTGGTTTTTCTTCTCTTTTTTGATTGCGGTTTTTCCTGGGGGGGGGGGAGCGGGGCGGGGGGGGGATCCTTCACTGTGAGGAGATGGCCTTTCCTCCTTTTTTCTTTAAGGTGCTGCTTTGGTGGGGGGGAGCATTTTAAAAATTGTTGAAATGACCAGAAGAATTACACAAGCGTTAATTAGAATGGAAGTTTTCCACTTCCTTGGTTATTTAGTTATCTGAATAAATTTGTGGATTGGCTAGGTTAAGACCTAGTTCATGGTCACATTTCAACAAACAGCTTGATTATCAAAAACACAATGTAAAAAAAGCCCTGTTGTTTTTTTCTTTTTCTTTCTTTTTTTTTTTCCTGGTGGTGTTTGGTTTGCTCTCTTTGGATGGGTCACACCTTTGTTCTCCTGGGTCCAGATTTATAAAAGCAGTAAATTATTAATTAAGTGAAAATAAGTCTCTTTGGTGTTAATGCATTTGCAATTTCAGTAATTAAATGGTGCATATGTGAAGGTGTCTTCTCAAACTTCTAAAGGTAGACTTATGCTATGTGAATGTTAATATGCATATGATTTGATTTCAAAGTATAAAACTGGAAAAGTCTAGAATCTTTTCCCATGAATAGGATCTTGCTATCTGAATACTAATTTAAGTCAAGTGTGATGCTAATGGTACCTTAAATTTCTAACACCTTTGGTGCAG